TAGAATATAGCGCTACAAATATTTATAATCAACGCTTATTTGTTCCGTCAAATACGATGGAAATAATGTGATCTACTGCCAGAAGAAATTCCGATTTCTTTCGATCATATATAATTGTTAGCAAGCAAGCGAAAACGTGAATCGAGATGTGTGTCGAGTTTTAGAATGGTATAGGTCACGTGTTGTAACCAAGTTATGTAAGAAAAAAAAAACAATGGCAACTTGTACATAGCTTGGCATTAATAATAATAATAAAAAAAAAAAGGCTAGTTCGTATTATATTAAGGATATAATAATTCCAAGCCCTTATAAATAATATAAATATAACCTAATTTAGACTGAATGTAAGAAAATAGCGGATATTAAAGGAAATAACAAAACGAAAAAAAAAGGATGAGCACCTTTAGACAATACTAGGGACATTTGTAATGTTTTAGTTAACATAGCGAATTTTTAGGTGACGAAAAAAGAATTAATAGTTAATTAGAAAAAAAAAAAAAAAGAAAAAATCGAAGAATGCAGGAAAAACGTCACAATTGATTTAATTTATGAAAAAGGACGATATAAACTGGGGTCCAATCGAGTAGCGTGCTTTTGTCAGCTTTTTGTGATTCGTACATATCGCGATAATCGATAAAAAGAAAAAACTATCAAGCTGTTTTTTTGTGACGCGACAAATCTTTTTTTTAAATAATTCTCCGAACAGAGATTCATTTCAAAAGCGTTGCTTTAACGCAATAGTCATTGAAATTTATGTTTTCTTTATCTCGTTCGATTCATTCGAATCTTTTTCCCCCTAGATCTCATATCGCATCATCAACAATGCAATGATGATTGCCACATATTTAAGGATAAAGCTTATAACGATAAAGGAATGATAGCAACTTTCCTTTCGTATGCCTAGTTGATGCACATAATTCTAAGTACGTAGATTTTTGTATGAGTATGTATATATATTATATATATATATATAATATATATAAATATTCGGAGCAAAAAATTATATATATATATATATATAAATATGAATATAAATATGAAAAAATAAACG